GCCGCGACTCGCTGCCCACACGGTGCTTTATGTAAACTTAGACGCTGCAGCCGGACAAGAGGCTTTAACTCTCTCCGTGCTTCGCACGCAGTGAAACCCAAAGCCCCGGCACAGCACGTGAGGGCTACACTGCGCTTTTAACTGAACGTAAGGCAAAAACTTCTCGCCAAGCTGCTTTGGATTTGCTTTGTAAATTAAACGTTTCCTTTGCCTTTAAAGAAACCACGCCAGTGCGCTGGGGAGCTTCTGTTAGGAGAAAAATAAAAACTGCTGTGAAGCAACAGCAGATAGCAGCTAGGAAAGGCGAGAGACACAAAAAGCCGTGTTTGTGTCCAGCATTATTTAAGATAAGGCATCCTCCCTTCAGCAGGCACTGCTTTTTACTGGACTTTATAAACACTTGCTAAGTTGGTGTCGTTCCTCAAGCACGAGATGAGTGTCTTTAGCATACGTGCAGGATTTTCCCGTTAAGTGTCGTAGGTGCATCAGAGCCGCGGGCAGATTCAGCTTCACCCGCTGACAGTGTCACTGGTCGCAGCAGCTGCGCTACTCCTCTGCTGGCTGCCTGGAAAGAAGCCACGCAGGCTATGGCTGGCGCGATCACAGTTTTGTGCTATTCACTGCTTGGTATTCATTCAGATAAATTCTAATTTCAGTGGATAAACCTGTTCTGATCTCTTGCCCAGAGAAAGGATCCTCAGGTAGCGTACGTGGATACAACGCCACTCACTCCACAACAGCAAAGCCCAGCTCCGCATCTGCTCCTTGGGATAAAAACAGCCACCAGTGAACACTCTTACGGTAGGTATCAAATAGCAGGAGCCTGTGGCCTTTGTTCCTGAAAATGCAGGTGAGATTCCTAAAACACTGAATACAGGAACAACAGGAACGTTGCAGACTGACGTACTAAAACACCCAAACAACGTTTCAGCTACTACTGAGTAAAGATACAAGAGCAGAGCAAACTTATTAAGTATTCACAAATAAATTCTGTATCAATATATAGCACTTTTAAACGAAACTACTATTATTTTATCTAAACAAATGAGAAAAGTAGATTTTGCAATGCAAAAGGCTTTCTGGGGAAGATCCACGTCTTCGATGATGTTTGACTATCGCTTAGCGAAGTGACATGGAACCCAGGAGGCGGCCCCCTAGCAGTTGTCACACACCTAAAAAGTAATAACAGAGTAAAATTTGACTGATTGCGACTAAGAATGATCTGGCTTAAATGTTGATAAAGCAGACTTTGATCATCATAAATGTGGCTAGTGTTACCCAAACAGCGCTGTACTGTTTTCTTTCCTCATCTTTTTTGTCTAATACTCTACTGTCTGGTTGATCACTATGCCATCTTTCAATGCAACTACAACGCAAACGCGTACGTCAATACGCACATAATTAGAATACACCACTTCGTGAATATAAATTTTTAGTCTTTCTCTTGTGGTTTCATGCAACACTGGAACGTGTAGCAAGAAGCAACATATTAGTATTTAAACTATTTATTGTCTATTTGGAGTCCTAACTGCGGACTTGCTGCACACTTAACATCAGCTTTATGGGGGAAAATGATCCTAGTTGTTAAATTCATATTTAATGTATCTGCTGTGTTCAAAAAGCACCTTTAAAGCTTCCTTCCTAAGCTCTCATATAAGCACAAAAAAACCTTAGAGCAATGATTTATCATCTGCTGACATCATTTTAAATGTTTCTACTACTAAAATAAAAAATCCCAAACCATCATATAGCACACATCCTTCATCAAAACCTACAGAGCAGGCCACTCTTCGTACATCCAACATAAGACAACGTGGCTTGTGCTACTACTATACTACTATACTACTATACTATCAGCCCCTCTGACTGCAAGAGGCAACAAGATCATTAATTTGGCGCCTGGGACTGACACCATAACCCCCCGGTTTTGTGACCAGAACGGACTCGATGAATAAATGCTCGGTGGGCCACAGTTATTACAGCTGCAAATCTCTGCACGTGCAAGATTGCCATTACCAGTACGGGGAATCTAACGTGGATGCTTTTAGGATGCCAGCAGCATCGACCCACCAAAAAAGGAGTTTCTTGAGCAGATTAGCGCAAACAAAAGCACCTAAAGAGCACTGTTTTACTCATGTTTGTATCTGTCCACGGACGTAACTATCAGAGTGCCCTAGCAGGGGATTCTTCAGGTCAAAACTCTGGGTGGAAAGAACCTCAAATATGGCTGGTGAAGTTGAACCAGGACAGGGCTCCAGCGGGCAATTTAGGTCACCATGTGTGGGGATGGCCACAGTCAGCTCGCCTGGCTGAGGCAGATCAGAGATCCTGGCGGAGGGATACAGATTAAGAGACACAGAGCACTACACGCACCTCTAAACAGTAAATTGATCTCATTAATTTTTTTTCACTATGAACCACCAGCGTCACGAACCACCAATGTCTAACCAGCATTTGTTTGGGCATGGATGGTGGAAGGACTCCTTTAGACAGAGAGTAAATGACTTCTCTGTTTAAATCAGGTTTCCTTGCACGTCCATTAACATAATATACAGATTGCATTCCTCCTTGGACAGTCTCTTGCTGAGCGTAAGGGACCTGGACAGCCCAGGGCCCAATAAGAAAGCATAAATTACTTGAAGATATAGCTTGATCACCTGTTGGAAGAAAATATAAATGTGTGTGTGTGTGTGTGTGTGTGTACAAATATATGATATATACGACACGGCTGCTTGAAACATAATGGCAATGGATTTGACGACACAGGAGATTTCCCTCCTGTCCCACAGTTCCAGTGCTTCTAACTTTAATATGAATAATAGCGCCCCATTCAGCAGAGCCAAGATTTGACAGCTCAGCTGCGGGAAGCAAAGGAGAGAGAGAGAGAGAGAGAGAGATTGTTTGCAGACACATATTCTGCCTACGTTTTTCTGATGTCTTCGGAGTTCAAGGTGTTAGCTGCAGCTCAGCAATCTGTTTATTTTATTGTGCATTTTTAATGAGGAGCAGGACACTCCTGCCGTTACTACAGCGCAGAGGAAAAAATAAATAAATTAATGGAAGCCAGTGCAGTAACGTGCTATAATTACAGGATCTGTAGGCACGCCGTCAGTGTTTATGGATCTTCCATTCACTACTGCAGGATAAGTCAGTATTACACGTTTATTCATTACACAAGATGCAAGCAAGCAAAAGTACTGCAAATTACTGTACTGAAAGGGACATTATATATCCAAAAATGGAAATAAAATTTTCACAATATCATAAATGTGGAAAAAAATATTCCCACATCATAGGGGATGACATAATTGTTTCCATAGTTGTTAATGTCATCAATGATGTAACCGTATCTTTGATTTCTTCCTGCTAATTATGCTATTTCTTGTGGGTTTTGTATTCTGTAAAAGCTCTTCACCCATTACGATTTCCAAGCAAACGCACAAATCATAAAGGTCTAATAACATCTCACTGCTACTCTTTCTCTCTCCTTTTGAACACAATCAAGCATGTAAACTACAATGACGGAAGCCTGCTCCTTCGTATTAAACCTGCTTGCTGATTTTTTTCCACGGAGGCCAGCACAAATCAATGCTCGATGACACTGTTCCTCAATATTTTTACCCGCTTGGTGGTAAAACACAGCGTCCCCTTTCACGGAGTGCAAACTCCAAGAGAACAAAAAGATGCTTTCACTCCACTTTGAAAAATCGCCGCATTCAAACCCAGGGGCAGTCAGACAACAAAAGCGGTGACGCGCTTAGAGATCTCTGAAAAGCCCTTTAAAAGGCCCTGCAGAAGCGCGCCGAGGGTCTTTCTCCCCGGCTCCTCCCCCGGGCCCCTCTAGGCGCGGAGGCCCCCAGCGCCCGCCCCCAAGGGCAGAAGCGGCTTCCGCCAGATATCTGCCAAAGTCTCTCCTCCCCTTTGTCACCCTCCCTCCCCCACGCCCGCATTCGGACAGGTTAGAACAGGGGGGCGAAGGGAGAAGAAAATCCCCCCTTACTCGGCCCAAGCACGCGAGGCCAACTTGCGCCCTCGCTTCTGGGGCGCGACTGTCACCGCTGCCCTGCTTTCAGGCCGAGAGGACGCGTGCGTGCCACGGGCTGACCTCGTGTGCGCGTTCACCCCTTCCGCGCTCCCGGGCAGCGCGCGGGGCCCAGCAGCCCCGCTCAGGGTCCCGTGGGGTGTCCACCAGTCCCGCTGCCGGGCTCTCCTTCCAGTGAACTCCGGAGAGGCGAGGCGAGGCGAGCCCAGCCCCACCACAGACTTGATCAAGTTTGAAGCTGTGCCACAGTATATTTGGGGCCCATTGTCTTCCAAAAGTGTGCTTTTCAGCCCATTCCCTGCCGTTACCACGGGCAACTGTTCGCCTTTAACAAATTTGAGGGAGGGGGGAACGTAAGGAGGAGGGAAGGCGAACAAAGGGCCGGCCAGATCCTTTAGGGGGGGAAAAAAAAAAAAACCCAACTCCTCTCTTTTATTCCCCAAGTATTTACAAACAACAAGGCCATTTCTCAAAAACGTTCCCCAAATGCAACAATTCCAGAGCGTTCCTCAACACAAACCACATCCCTAACAACGCACAAACCTGTTGCTCACCTACACAGTTTGAAGCAAACGCTTGTGCTCGTTCCCTCGACTAACGCATCCTTTTGCAAAGAAGCTATTATAAACATAACAAACCACTGAAATGTTTTATCTGTGGCAATGACTGACACCTCTGATTAAGTTTTCCTGATTTCACAAGGATTACAACTAGGTTTTATAAACCTTCCCTTTCAGTGTGCACATTTATTTTAAATTATGATATACAGACGGTTGGAAACACGAGCGCACAGCAGA